CTTGATGGACAGTGGAAGGAATCACACGTGAAATTCCTTGAATAAAAATTTATTGACTTTAAATAATTTTGCCTAATGCCACACAAAAAAAATGACTATTTTTACACTGTTAAAAAAAGAACTAACCTTTCAACATATTTAATATAAGAATCACAATCTGATCCTACAGAGATAGAACATTGCCAAATGAGACACTGAATGTCTAGTATTGGCAAAAGGTGCATAGCCCCATTCCACTTTTTTTAGCTTATCCTGTAACTCCTCTCTATTCCCTGATATGACCACTCTTGATCAATAAATTGCTTCCCTTTCATTTCTGTACTCCACTCCCATTCCCTTCTACCTACTCCAACTATAATGTGTGTAATATATATATCTGTTTGCATTTAATTAGTAAAGACGTTCATCTCACCCCATTACATCACCAGGTACTTGCCATCAACATGGCTTATAATTCATGATGTTAACTTTGATCTTCTAATTAAAGTGGTGTTTGCCAGGTTTCTTCACTATAAAGTTTTCCCTCCCTTTCCATACTTATTTCTTTTTTCTTTTTCTTTTCCTTTTTTTCTTTCTTTTTTTTTTGCGACAGGGTCTTGCTCTGTCACCGAGATTGGAGTGCAATGGTACCATCATAGCTCACTGTAACCTCGAAATCAAAGGAAGAGAATTAATCTCCAGCTCCTGGAGAGAAGAGTGTCTATATACATTCTTTAGAATTCTTCTATAAGGACAATTTCCCCCTTTACCATTTATTTACGTATTCAATAATTTTATCTTATTATAGACTCCTGTATATTTATTTATTTATTTTACTGTTATTTGCATTTATTTTATGCTGAATCTATTTCCATGCCATAAGTTTTTGTTTCTTCAGTTTCTTCTGAGATGTCTTTTTCTTTCGTGCAACTTTCTCATCTGGTTTTAGAACAATTTGTTCTTTTTCAGTAAGGGTCATCTCAATGTGACAAAGGGAACTTATGTATGGATTCATCCGACCATGAGCTCTGTAAGTATTGTGGGTGCTTTGTTCACCAGGATATGCTCAAGGACCAGAGAATGTGTATCTAAACCCAAAAGTTCAGCGTTACTCTGCATTTTTAAGTGTGTGCAGCAAAAATTCAGCACTCTTTTAGGGGCCACTGACCCTGCATCCAGTCCTACTGTTTAGCCTGGGCACGCCTACCAAACACCATCACCATTGTAACGTTAGAATGGTGTTTCTGTAAAGTGACATATTTCAGACATACTTTTGTATATGCATACCCTTGATGGCCTGGGACGTTTCATGGGTGTCCTTAAAGTGAACATGAAGATTTGAACCTCTTGATTTGCATGACTTTGTGGAGTTTTCTGGATCAAGTGAGCAGTGAACCATTTTCACAGATCTCCTCAGGCCACTTAGGGGGAAGAGCCATGGATATTTATTTTATTCTTTGGGTTATAATCCAACACCATCATTATTGCTGAAATTGTTCCAGCTTTGGCTATTGGGGACTCTTTCAGATTGGCTCCGGTATCCTTTTGATCTCTCTCTCTCCTATTTTTATTTTATTTTTCCAAACTTCTTTCCTTTCTGGCATTATGAGATATTCCAAACTCATCTTGTATTTTCCCTCCTTTAATTGGAAAATGGTATTTAGAAACCAAGATTTGTGTACTGGGCATGCTTGTTGCTACCACTGCATCTAGGCCCCCTCAGTGGACAAAGCTAGGAAACATATGTATGTATATTAACTTATGTATACACGCATCTCTATATATCATCTATCACTCTATCATCTATCTACCTATAAACATGAATTTATACTGGTATCTGTGACCCTAATCTAGCACCATGTGGTTCATTCCAGCCTTCTCCCTTGCTTATTTGTGACTTTTTCTCCGATAGTGAGAGACCTGGCTCCCATTATCTATAATTATTTACTTATTTGCTCAACCCTAGTATTATGAGTTTGGTTGTGTCACCCTGAAATTCGTATATTGAAGTCCTAACCCCTAGAACCTAATAATGTGACCTTATTTAGAGATAGGGGTCTTTACAGAGATAATGAAGTTAAAATGAGTTAATTAGAGTGGGCCCTAATTTGACTGATGTCCTTGTTAAAAAGGAAAATGTGAACACGGACACATATAGAGGGACGACAATGGGGAGAAGATGGACATCCACAAGTCAAGGAGAGAGGCCTGGAGCAGATCCTTTCCTCACAGCCCTCAGAAGTGACCAATCTAGTACTAATGGGGGATGAAGAAAAAAGGAGCTTCAATTTTAGAATATGTTTTAGCTGAGTGAGAATGAAAAAAGGAGCTTCAACTGAAAGTTTAGCATGGGCCAAGATCAGTGACCAGGGCCACCATTTATTATAATTAAATCAGATAAGTTAACTACATTGTGTGATTTTTTTGGGTATAAGAGGGGTCAATATGAAAAGCTCAAAGGTATTTTCAGGTCAGCTGCCTTCTACTCATTTGTTTCATTTTATTTTCTTTATAGCTTTTTCACTTACCCATACTGGAAATTGTTTCCTTTACTTGTTTATCATTTGTCTCACCTCACTAGAATATAAGTTTAATAAAATCAAGAACCTTGTCTTTCTTGTTCAATGCTATATTTCCAGTGTTTCAAGTCATGCCTGAATATAAATATTTGTTGAATGAATGCATAATCATTTATGATTAGCTTTTCCTAGACTTCAATGGCAAAGATTTAGATTTACAAACTGTGGTTCAAAAGACCATATTACAAAGGCATACATTATTAACAATTTTTCATTGTTTAGTTTCTCAGATTGGCTAGGATACACTGAAGGGAGAGGAACAAGCTGGAGAAAAGGGGCAAAGAGGGTATAAATTGGTAATGATAAGTCCTTAATTATGGGGGTGGGAGATTGAACCTAAGAAATTCAGAAACTTATGGCCATGAAGTGCTCGAAATTGATGAGGCTCTCTAAGTAAGATAAAAACCATCGTGAAGGCTAATTTCTCAATTTTATCTCAGTTCTACTACCATAAAGGTTTATGGAAAGGAGGTGATAGTTATTCAGCTCGTTTTTAATATGCTAATTACCTTGCATTGTGCATAGCTTTGATTAGAATGCAGTACTCTTGAAGAGGCAGTGCCAAGTTTATGTACATATTAAGCACTGGTCTGCCTTGTTTATGTACAGCGGGTTCTTCCTGAAGAGCATTATTTTATTTATTTATTTAATTTGTTATTTATTGTATACACACAGTATACATAAAATAAATATATATGTACAGTATATATAAAATAGATACTTATGTATTTTCACTATATTGCCAGCGCTGGACTCGAACTTCTGGGCTCAAGCGTCCTCCCACCTCCGCCTCCCCAGTAGCTGGAACTACAGGCACAAGCCCCCGCCCCCGGCCCCCCCACCAGTGATTATTGATGCTATTATAATCCTTGTTAGCATTGCATCATTGTTGTGTAGGGCACATATGAAGAAAGAAGGTTGAGAAAAACAAAAGAATTACATATGAAAAACGAAAATGAATGAGTAACTGAGATGTCTTTAGTGTCTAGTTGGAAAGGCAATTAATTTCAATCAGGTTGGGGAGTGCCATGGTAAAAATGGAATCCACTAAAGTGGAAGACACAGTTGCTAAACTTGAGGGTTACAAGAGAAGACTTCAGGCAGTTTGAAGTTTCAAGAAATACAACATTTAGAGAAGAGGTTGTCAAACTTTCCAGTCTCGGGATCCCTGTATGCTCTTAAAAACTGAGGACCCCCAAGAACTTTTATGTGCGTTACAGATACTTATATTTATCATATTAGAAATTAAAACAGAATTTTTGAGTAGTTATTTATTACTTTATTTAAAAACAATAAAGCAATCAAATGTTTACATAAAATAGCTTTTTAAATGAAAAATAACTAATCCCCTTTCCCCAGTTGAGTTTTTTGCAAATCTCTTTTAATGTCTGGTTTAATAGTAGATGACTGGATTCTCTTATCTGCTTCTATTTTCAGTCTGTTTCCTTATCAAATGTCATGTAGCCTCCGGAAAACTCCACTGTACACTTCTGAGAGAATGAGAATTCAAAAGGCAAAGTCTTTGTATTATAATATTATGGAAATAGTTTTGACTTTCCCCTTGAAAGGGTCTGGGGATCCTGGGAACAGACTTTGAGAACGACTGATTTAAGAGTTAACGTTAGTCAATTCAGCATCAATTGAAAAGTAGCCATGAGGTTTCACAAGCCAGAGGATTTAATAGGATTTACTTTTTCAGAAAGATGAAACAGCGGACATAGCATGTCCTCATTATAAAGCATCTACAGAATGCACAAATATGCTTTTTTCATCAAAAAGCTAAAGCCGAAATGAGGTAAAAGGATGGAGGGGTAGGGATGAGAAGCATTCCCGAAAGGTGTGGAGACCCATGATTTAGGAGAAGCAAAACCTGCGGCAGACACCGCGAGGTGGTCACGAGGAAAGAACTGTTGTTCTTAGGCGGGGAAGGAAAATGGTTACCAGGGGAATTGCAGAAATTAGGCGCAGCAGGGATGGGAACTAAAGAACGCTCAAGGTGTAGGATGCGACGAACCCGGGACCAGGCGACTGGCCCCCGCCCTCAGCTCCGCCCGCACAGCGCTAAAGCGGGCGAGGCGGGCCTTAAGCGAGGCCCTGCGGGTCAGGCCTTTCTCCACAACTGATGGGGTTGAGATTTCCTTTCCAGCGCAGCCGGGGGAAAAGAGATGGCGGGGTGCGTAGCGGGCGGAGGAAGATAGACACAGACGGGAACCAGAGGAACCCAAGCGCAGCACTGGGGTAGCGGGGAGAGAGAAGCCCTAGGTAAGGGCATGGAGGTCGCTTGGGAAGAAGGACGGTTCTGTCGCTAGGCAACCCAGCCTGGGCCCGCCTCCCGCTCGCGTTGCTAGGAGACGACGAGGCCAGGGGGAGGGCGGCGGAGCGGGCCCTACGTGCTGACGCTAATTGTATATGAGCGCGAGCGGCGGGCTCTCGGGTCTTTTTTAGCGCCATCTGCTCGCGGCGCCGCCTCCTGCTCCTCCCGCTGCCGCTGCCGCCCTGAGTCACTGCCTGCGCAGCTCCGGCCGCCTGGCTTCCCGTACTAGCCACCGGTAACGAATGGGGGCCTGGAAGGGAAGGGGGAGCGAGGAGTTGGCCTGGCTGCCTGCGCGAATCGGAAGGACAGAGGGACGGAGGGATGGAGGGACGGGGAACCCTGAGGCGGGGCCGCTGGTCGCCCGGGGCCTCCTGGGTCGTCCTGTGAGGCGGGCGCCGTCCGCGGAGTCCCGATCTCACGGCCTGAGAGGGGCCCTGGGGTCGGCCAGAGCTTTTTCCGGACGGCTGAGGCGCCGTGGGGGCCGGCGCGGCCTGAAGGGCCTAAGGTTATCTCAGCCCCACCGTCTTCTCCGGGCGGACCGGAGGGAGCGAGGCCGCGGCGAGGCCCGGGTGCTCGGGGAGTCGGTGGCCGCTTATTGAGGGGCCGTTGGGCGCCGGGAGTGTGGGCCAGGCCCGAGTGTGGAGCCCGCCACCTCCTCGACGCCCCTGCTTCTCCCTCAAAAATAACCCCCAGAGGGAGGCCGCTGGGGGATGGAAAGAACGGCGGAGGCTGCACATTCCGACGGGAGGGGAGGGGCCGTGGAGGGACGAGGCCCCGAGGCGGGGAGGGGGCGGGGGAGGCTGCGAGGCTCCCGGGCTCTCCGCCCACTGGGGGCGGCGGCCATTCCGGGAGGGAAACCCCCCGGTGGCTTCCCTCGACACGTGGTAAGGGGCTGCGTGGCCGCCGCTTGGGCCTGTCTGGAGACCCTTCCTGGGGTGTATCCTTACTTTACTGAAAGTTTTAGAGATGCTGGGATGTGCAAAGGACTAGTGAGCTAACAAGCCCGGCCCCTGGGTTTCAAACTTTCCTGCTTCTCTTTGGTCTTAATCTTTTTATTGGTACCAGAGGGCAGCATGAACGTTAGCTGTGGTAGATGATGGGGAAGGGCTTCCTCTGCTAGGATTTTAAGGAATTAACGCGTGTAAAGCGCTTATGTTAGCTGTTATTAACTAAAGATTGTTCTGTGTATCCCAAATACAGCTAGAACTTAGATGACTTGACTAGTGTTTTTTGTTTGGGGAGAATGGATCCTAATTGATCTAGATCTCTAAACGGTTTTAAGATGAAAATAAAGACTTTGGCCTGTAAGGGCTTTGTTCTGGGCTTTCCATTGCTTTCTTAAAAATTAGTTTCTTTATTGATGGACCCAGAATAAGATACTTAAATAGCTGTTTTCATTTTAAGGTGGATGGGGGTGGGATGGAAGAAAGAAGTATGGGGTGGAATGAGGCGTTAATATAAACTTAGACGAGTTTGTAGCCTGCTAACTTGTCAATGCCATTTACTCAAAAATCTCTGGAACAGCAGTGAGGGGAGGCTGGAACTGAGATCTGTCTGGGAGGACTGGGCTTGCATAGTACAAAAAGGATGAACCAGGCACGGGATGTCCTCAAGGTAGACTACCACTAGTCTGATCAGTTCTGAAATGACTACGTCTTTGGTTTTTTTTTTTTTTTTTTTTGACTACGTCTTAAAATCCACAACTTAAACACTGCTTACCTGGTTTCAGGAGAGTTGTAAAGTAAAATTTGCCATTTTTGAAAATAGGTGGATTCAAAACATCCTTTGAGACTGGTATCTGGGTCCTATTATCAGCTTAAATTCTTTCATTCTTATTTTACTTGGGAAGTAAAACACATTTCTTTTGGCTAAGAGAAAGACCATCGATGTATAGTGTAGCTTACTTAAAACTGAAGAGAGGTAAATGAGATTTACAGTGATCTTGAGGGACTCCTGTGCCTCAAGTTTGTGGGAAATTGCCTGAATTCAAATAATGGCCCAAATGTAAACTGTATAGTTTAGTTTTAAGAAGACTGGTCCTTTGGAGAATATATGGAACTAAACATTGGCAGGTAGACTTTTATATCTATCATTATAAGACCTTGACTTTCAGAGATGCTCTTTCCAAGTCAACATTGCTTATGTTAATTTAATAAATAGAAACTTAAAAGTTTTCACTATAACAACTTAAAATCTTTGTAAATTGTATCTGCTCGAAGTACCTATTTTTATGTTAGGGCCATTAATTGATAGGATTTTTAAGCTAAGACTAAATGTGGCAAATGACCGCTCTTATTCTTTAATGAGATTTCTGGAAAAACACGTGTACCAGAACTAAATCCAAAATGCTGTTCCTCATTTTATTGTTCAGCTTGCCTCTATTGGCTCCAGTGACTGATTTAATTCTAAACTCCCCAAAATATGTTCAAAACAGAGGGTTTTTTATAGAAAGGGCTTAAAGAGGCAGAATCAGTTTGACTTCAGGGTCTGAAGATGTCAAATTAAAATACTGTACTTTGCTTGCTTTGTTAATTTTTTGCTTGGTGACAACTTTGAAATAAAACGAAGGGATTAGAGACAATGAATCCTCATCACTGAATACTAATGATCAATTTATTCAGATCCTCAAGTTTAATTAAACTTGTAATTGTGTTCTTAGTTTATTCTTTGAGTAAATATCTTAACACCTATTTATATCATGAGCAAAACAGGCACATTGGTTACCTATATGTAAAATAACTTATGATGAATGCTATGAAGTAAAAAGGCATAGGGTAAAAGGAAGGGGGAGCATAGAGTAGTATTTGTAACATTTTTTACCTAAGAATGTTATAAATTATAACTGGGAACTGGTTATAATTAATGATACTAAATTCCATTTTAAACTAGTTTCATTTGAATAAGTTCCTTCCTTGTTGAGCAGAGTAGGGGTTAGAAGGTGAGAGCTGTTGCTTTATACCTACCCTTATAAGTTGTTTAGCATATTGACAGCAGACCACTAGAGCACATTACTGGGCTTGCCATCAAAAGTGGCCTCTATACTTCTGGTTACTAACTCTGCTTTTTACTGTTACATATTTGGATATATTTTTACTCTTTCAGAATTTTTATACATTTTGAATTTTATTGAAGAAGGGGGCTATAATTTTGAAGAGCTTTTAAATTATTTTCTAAAGAGGGTACAAAAGAGCACAACAGCAATACGTAAGTCAACACTTAATGGGTGATTATTCAGGTATAATTTTAAATTCTTCTATGTGTATTATTTAATACTCTCTGAGGTGGGTAGTGTCAACATTTTAACAAGGAAACAGGTACAGAGTGGTTATCCAGGCTTACATAACTGAGCAATGATAAACTTATGAGATAATTTTTGTACTGGTTTCTAAAGGATGTTCTGGTGACTTAAACTGCTACAAGTGATCATGTGTGTTAGTCCGTTTTCTGTTGCTTAAAACAAAATACCTGAAACTGGGTAATTTATAAAGGAATTTCTTATAGTTCTAGAGGCTCAGAAATCCAAGGGCCTTCTTGGTGGGAACTATAGTGTCACATGGGGAGGCAGAGCCCTCATGATCCAATCACCTTAAAGGCCCCACCTGCAAATAGTGCCACATTGGGGATTAAATTTCAACATGAGTTTTGGAGGGTTCAAATATTCAAACTATAGTAGCATCAAATTCAAAAGCACTCTATCTTGGATTCCACTGTACTCCAGGGAAAAGGTATAGCACTGAACGGTCATGAAGTCTTCCAACATGGAATTTGTTTACATACAGTGTGTGGGTTAATGATGGGAGTATTTTCTGAGACATGGCATGATTAGGCGATTTTGTTGTGCAAACATCATAGAGTGTACTTACACAAACCTAGATGGTATAGCCTTCTACATACGTAGGTATATACCTAGGCTATATGGTGTAGCCTATTGTACCCTGAGGATATAGCACTTTGGGGTCCTAATTAATTTGGGAGTGTTGCTGTAAAGATTCCTCACCTTGGACAGGCCAAGGATTTTGATTTTACTACAAGATAGTTAAAACCAAAGTTTATGTTTGCTGGTAATTAGCAATTGCCCTGAGGGCAGAATTGCCTGCCTTCTGTTTCCTATTTTGCCTTTAATTTTGGACTAGTAGTAATTCCTTACTATCTTGTTAGCATTTCAGTGCTTTTAAGATATTAACAAATATTTTACTCTGTACTTTTAATAATTTTCCATTGGTAGAATTGATAGACATAATCTAGCTTGTCAGTATCAGACAAGGAATCTTTTTAATTTAACTTTTATTTTTAATTTTAGATTTACAGAAAAGTTGTAGAGATTGTTCAACGAGTTGCCATATGTTCCTTACTCAGTTTCTCCTAATGTTGACATCTTGCATTACAATGGTATGTTTGTCAAAAATAATGTTAACCATCATCCAGTTAATTATTTTGCCAGAACCCTGATCCCACATTTAAGGATAATTCAAAATGTACCATATGTAAACATAGCTTGTGTTTATTGAGTATTTACTAGGTATCAAACATTGGTTAAGTTTTTTATATGGATTTGTTCCTTGAATCTTAAGTGTAATCCAGTGAAGGAAAAATTTTTTTCTACTTATAGATGTTGAAATGGGGTCAGAAGTTGTTAGCCTGAGTTAGGTTTTTATAAAGCTGATGTCAACTCAAGTAATGTGACTATAAAGTTGGGCCTAGTATACAACCAAGAAATTCAATTTAGCCAAAATGGACAGGTTGTAGTAGGCATCACTGGGGAGATAAATGCTGGTCTGTCTTGGATTCTCTTTAATAAAGACAAATAATTTCATTTTAAGAGTTTCAACTCCAGGGCTGGGTGCGGTGGCTCATGCCTGTAATCCCAGCACTTTGGGAGGCTGAGGTGGGAGGATCACTTGAGTCCAGGAGTTCAAGACCAGCCTGGGCAATATAGCAAGACCCTGTCGCTGCAAGAAAAAAAAATTAGGTGAGGAGGTGCATTCCTGTAGTCTCAGCTACTCCAGAGGCAGAGGCAGGAGGATCGCTTGAGCCCAGGAGTTAAGTAAGCTATGATTGTGCCACTGCACTCTGGCCCGGGCAACGGCAAAAAAAGTTGTGACTCTAAATATAACACTGCAGAATGGACACTGAGGATAGCAGTGTAACCATTCTTCTGTGAACATGTTAAAATGTTACAAAAACAAAAATTTGAATTTGGAAGCTGTGAGGTTTTGTATCTCATGTCACCCAGGCCAGAATGCAGTGGCCTGATCATAGCTCACTGTAACCTTGGACTCCTGGGCTCAAGCCTTAGCCTCTGGAGTAGCTGAGACTATAGGTGCCCACCACCACACCTGGCTAATTTTTAAAATTTTTTTTGTAGAGATGGGATCTGTGTTACCCAGGCTGGTCTTGAACTCTTGGCCTCCCAATTGCTGGGATTACAGGTGTGAGCTGCTACATGCAGCCTCTTTCATATTTTTGACAGTTGCTGGCTTTACTAGACACTGTATTCAGCCCAGCAAATTCCAAATTGTTATTAAATAAGCTTCTGGGTATTGGAAAACCAAATACAGTCATGTCCTGCATAACGACATTTTGGTCAACAGTGGACGACATATAGGATGATGGTTCTATAAGATTATAGTGCCATATTTTTACTGTACCTTTTCTAGGTGTTTAGATACACAAATACTTACCATTGTGTTATAATTGCCTACCGTATTCCATAATATGCTGTGCAGGTTTGTAGCCTAGAGCAATAGGCTATACCATCGTAGCCAAGGTGTAGTATGTTATACCATCTAGGTTTGTGTAAACACAGACTATAATGTTTGCACAGTGATGAAATCGTCTAATGGAACATTTCTCAGAACGTATCCCCATTGTTAACCATGCATAAATGTAATGCAGAATGAAAAACAAGTTTTCATTTCCCCACAGTCTCTTCTATAGGGAAACTACTGTTAGATTTCTGATGTATCTTTCCAGAAGGATTTTATTTATATGAAAGCATGTGCGTATATAAGTATACGTATTCATATGTATTTTACCATACATCCTATACCTTATTTTGATGTCCTTTCTGTATCAACTTAGAGATCTGCTTCATTTTTGACAACAAAGCATTCCATTGTATGCACATTGCAAAATAGTACTAAGTTTATAACACAAGCTTTGTGTACTTCCCTGAAGAAGAATACAATGCCATGATTGGTAAAAGCAGGTATAATTCTGTATTCATGGATCTTGTCTGGTCAGTTGAGAGGTCACACTAATTTATAATTACAGACCGAGATATCTTTTGATGGAAAAAAATAGAGCTATATAGGAGTGTGTATGACTAAGAAATCTTATTTAACTGGAATGTGCAGGTTAGAGAAAGCATCTCTGAAGAAGTAAAACTTTGAGCCGAGAGCCAAAAGAGGTGCAAGACTTGTTCACCAGACAAACATGAAAAGCAAAGGCCCTAGATTCTTCATAATTTTTTTTTTTTTTTTGAGACAAGAGTCTCACTCTGTTGCC